CCTGACAAGTCTCTTTTTTTCCAGAGGTCTACAGGTTCCCTATACATCAACCCATCTTGGAAGACTGGATATCCTTTTGTGTGTTGGATAGGAATAGGACCCTGAGAATGGACAACTAAATTGGTGCTTAGCTATATTTAAATACTTTCACTTATGCTATGCATGTACTTCTGTGTATAATATCTTGACATGCATGATGCAAATAGCAGTCAGAACACTTCCACTATATTCATCTTCCAGTTCACTGTATAACTTGACAGATGTTAATTGCAACACAAAGGTCACATGACTGATTTTTCTCATATTTAAAGGAGAACAAAACCCTATGATATTAATGTCTGAAGAGAAGCATGTTGCTTGATGAAAGTTGAAAAGACTTATTTAGTCCTTAGTCACTTGTGCCCAGAGATTTATTAGTCATGGTAATGTTTGCAATTAGTTGAAGGACAGAGAGCATCATGGGGACACCTTTTGTCTAATTGCTGTTTGCTGTGTACAGGCAGTTTACTGTTGAGTTTATGAGGGTAGCTGAAGTGTTACAACAACAAGCTTCTTAAGAAAGAAGTGAGGTCTCTTTCTTATTTATAAAATCATTAAAATCAAAATTAGCATCTGTATTAATAGATATAAAGTAGCACTATGCCATGGAAAAGAAATGTTTTAATGTTTGAGGATAGTGTTTTGTTCTAAATCATAATCTCCCCAGACATTCTGAAAAAGACAGTGAGTGAACTTAGCTAGAACAAATATATTTTACAGTAAATGGAGAGATGATCAAGTATTATGTTCTGTGTATAGTGAAATAACCTTTACATGAACTTGGAAAGGAAAAGAATTCATCTTTAATTAAGTTTGCCTTTCTTCTTGGAGTTGTGAAAGAGACAGGATAGTGCTACCATTAAAGCGGGAGTGGAGTTAATTGACATTAATCTTCATAGGTTTCTTAGATTTATTTTAATGGCAAAGAAGTAAAAAAGTCCTGAGCCCAAGTTAACTGTCCCTAAATAATTGAATGACATACTTGATTTTAACATTTTATCTTCTGGTTAGGAATGACGTTTGCTGCCTTCTGTTTTTCCTTTTATCCCATTCCAAACCCTGGAGAACATGCTGGAGATACACAAAAACTTGGTAAAGGAATAACAGTTTTGATCCATCTTGTTTTCTGAAGTGAATGTTTCTTTATAGAACACGGTTTAGCAAGGTCTGTTAACTGATAAAACCATTTAAACTGGTCCTGCAGACTTTTTACATCTGAAGGGATTTCTCTCTTTAGCACAAACTAATTCAAATCCCTTTAGTATGACAAATATTAGTAATTCAAATTCCTAGAAGTGAATACGTGCACAGTGCCTGTCCTGTTCTCTTCACATGACTAGGTGCTCTTTTGAGGGAGCTTTGTGCAATTCCCTCCAAACCAACTGGATTGACAATTCAAGTTGGCAGGAGGTGTGCCGTGCTTCACTGGAGGGTGCACAAAAGTCTTTCTGTATATTCTGGTCACTTCCTTCTTCCATTCAGCATCATTCATTCCTACCGCAGTCTTGTTGCTGTGGTTTAGGAATCAAAACTGTAGAACTGGGTGCCATCAGCATTTCAGAGATATTTTAGTCTTTACTGCACACTTGGTGATCTTGGACGCATTTTAAAGGTGAGTTTAGATGACAGTATTCAGGCAGTGAGCTGGGTTAATCTCAGTCAATCACCTCTGAAAAGGCTAGTAAAATAGGAATGGAGTAAGAATAGCTGTTTTCACCATGTAGAACAGCAATAAGTCAGGTCTTCCACATTGGGTTACATTATTATCTGATTCATGTTGGTTTCTTTGCTGGTTTAGCAAATGGGTTAGTGAGTCACAAGCTCTTGTTGGCCTTGTGTACTAGTATAGAAGTCAATTGTGTTTTGTTTTGTGTGGTTGGCACTTTTTCCAGGGTACAATATTTCCTAGATAAAATCAAATAGTTCCATGTAGATAGTAAGAAATGCACATTTTAAATCAAGGCTTGTCATACACTAAGTAAAAAAAATGTTGCCTCTAATAAAACTATCTTCTTAAATGGATTTATTTACTAGTGCCTGTAAAATTGCTTAGATGTTGGGATGGAATTTTTCCCTCTCCTCCTGGATTACATTAATAGCTTTCTATAAGCTGTCATTGTATGCCTATTAGTAGTTCAGATTTTTAAAATTGGAGGAGGACCAGAGGTCCTCCAATTAAATAAGAAAGAAAGTGAAAAAATGGAAAGAAAAAATATGAAATCTGTTTTTATTTGCAATTTTTTCTTCTTGTAAATTTCCAGTTTATTTAAATATAGTAAATCATAGAAAAGAGCCAAGTGGAGATCAGGTTGCTCAGAGAGGTTGTGCAGCTTCCATTTTTGGATGTCTGCAATAACCAGCCTGATCAAGCCATGAGCAACCTGCTGTGACCTCAGAGCAAGCCCTGCTTTTTCAGGAGGCTGGACTAAAGAGACCTCTCATGATTTCTTTCCAGTGTGATTTGTCCTATGAATCTATAAACAAAATTAAGGACTCTTTGAAATGTCAAGATATTCAAGTGGCTGTGAGTTGAGGTGTTGTGGTTGTAACTCTTATTTGGTTTACGTGGTCATGGCATGACCTCTTGTACTTTCCATTTTGGATAAATCTCTGCTGTTCTTAATAGCATTGTGGAAAAAATATTCAAGTGGAACAAATTAGTGTCATAATCGCTTCAAATTTTCTGCAAATAACTGGGCTGACCCAGAGAATCAGGTGCCCTGATAAGGAGCTCTGTTATTTTCACTATACCTTCTACTGTTTATGGGATGGAAGACAAAAAGAAGAAGGTCAGTTTTGTGGTGGTTATATGTCTTTCCTTAGAGAGCTACTTATAAATTAACTTTTAACTTCTCATCATCTTGGTGCCTCTGGGAAAAGGCTGGGATTGCCTCTGCACTCTGAGCAACTGTAAGCTAATTTATAATGTAATTAGATGCCAAAAAGTGCAAGCAGATCATAAATAGATATAATAATAGTAAAAAAAAAGCTGTGTGGCAACAACATATTAAAGAACTAGGTAGCTCTGAGGGAGAAAGAGTGTACATTTACAAAACTTAGCTTCCTAGTTTTAGTGCTCCCATTAGTGGGATCCTGCTAATGGGAAATGTTAAATATTTAATATCTGACATTTCTCTATGTAGTGCAGTAAAGATTAAGTATTTTATGGTGCATTTCAATTTAAAAGAATGAAAGCACTTTTCAGGCTGTTACAGGGAAGCTGTCAGTGAGCCTTGTATTTAGACTGGGTATTACTTTCTGCTATAATAGACTCAACTTTGCAGCAAGCTAGGTATGCAAGCTCTGATATCTGAGCAGTGCCTTTTGTTCATCCTCTGGAAACCTATTGAGCTGTGGCAAGGTTTCACTTCCCAAATTAAGCAGGCATGCCAAAACCACTGAGAGTTTCCACAGCCATGACAGTTTTTATTTTCAGTGAGACTTGCTAGTGTTATCCAAGAGGTGATGCAAGGCTTTTCTATCGCAGACTGGTTTGAGGCATTCCCACAAATAGCTGCAATAAAAGGCAGGCATGCCTTCTCTCACTCTGTCCTTTCCTGACTTTTTCTGTCTTTTCTTCACATGGAACATACTGGTGGTCTTCTTTCCTGTAGTAAATTTGCTGAAAATTTCCACTCTTAGTTTCGAGGGCAGCATATGTCTGTGCAATTTAGAAGCCCTTAATAAAGCAGTAACATTTTTAGTTTTGGTGTACAATGTGAATTGGCACAAGGATAGCAATTTAATTCCTTTCTTTTGCTGAAATATTGCACTTTTGTTAACATTGGATCTGATTTATAGGGGCTGCATATTTTCTATAATTGCTAGCCAGTGCCCCTTTGTGAAGGTATGTTGTGTGACTGTTAGTTACTGCTATCAGTCATGCACTTTACTTGACCTCAAGCCCATAACATTTCCTTGAAATAAACTGGATGAGTAATATAGATTGCAGTTTTTAGCACTGGAGGAGTACTGAAGTCCATACTCATTTGATTGAAATGGAAAGAAAACTACTTTCAGGCATTCTTTGACCTTTTGGTGATATCCGAGTGAATTTGCAGATGCAGCCAAGGTACTGCAATATTTTTTAAATGATCTAGGGATTAACAATCTATTTCTGCTTATCTAATTAAAAGATAGGTAATAAATGAATGTGTAATTATTTTTCTTGTACAGTTGTTTCATCTTGATAAAATAGGTAGCTAAAAAATGGTCTGAAAATGGTGTACCATTCCTTTCAGTTAACTATACCATGTATATATACATAGAGATACTTAATTGGCATATGTCTGCAGCTTCTGCTTCTGCTGATGCTTAGTTGTAGCACATGGATGTAATATTTGCTTGCCTAAAATGTGAATGGAGTTTAATAAGTATTCAAGTCTTACTGTTTTACATCATGTAACAGAGGCTACTAGGAAGGAGATTCTGTTGATGCTCTTTTAAGTAGCATACAATAGGTATGCTATTATGAAGAATAAGCATCTCTTAGATATATTAGCAGCATTGCTTGAAAAAAAAAAATGTGTGTAGGGAAAAGCTTTGGAATTCCACTTTTGTTTTAAAACAGGAAACTGTTGATGATAAGATGATGCTTGCTGCTGCTTTTGTGGGTTTGACTCATGGCTTGAGATTTTTTATATGGGTGATGTGTAAATGCCTCTATTAAAACTTAATACTCCCTAACACCATAAAACAAAATGTTGGTAAATATATATATATATATATTGTAAATAAGGGTCTGCTTCTTTCTTTTGGCACCAGAATGCATTTGTGTTTGCACAAACTATTGTAAACAGTGTTCAGTATTTTATCTCTTCCTTCTCCAACTCTTGTGTATTCAGTTTCACTGTGTCTTGTGTTTTTTCCAATCTGTTTTTTTGTTTGTGGTTTTTTTTGTTTGTTTTTTGTTTGTTTGTTTTTTTTTTGTTTTGTTTTGTTTTTTTAATCACACGACATAGAGCTGATAAAGCAGATGACGAGGACGATGAAGATCTAACAGTGAATAAAACATGGGTCCTTGCACCAAAGATCCATGGTGGTGATGTAACTCACATACTGGATTCCTTACTTCAAGGATATGACAACAAGCTTCGGCCAGATATTGGGGGTAAGCTCAAAAAATGATTCTGTGTAATAGAAAATGTGAACTAGAGATGGTGTGCATTTTGACAAAGGTGGCAAAACTGTGCTTATTGCAATATTTGAAACTCAATATAGCAAGCTATATATAAGAGTAATAAAGTACAGTCATTTTCTGGAACTAGTAAAAAATGTTCTATGCAAGATTAGACTTCATGTTCTATTTATAATCTTTTTTTTCTTATGGAAGGTACTGGTTTTGGGGGACAGTGAGCAATCTGTAATAAATCACTAAAAAGCAATTATAATTTTCTTTGTTTAACAAAGACCTTCTGTCAGAAAGAGCTTTAGATATAAGCCAGCCATGGTCATTTCAAAAATGGATCTTAAGTCTTTAAGACTTAATTAAAGAGTTATCCCTAGACATTTTATTCTTACTGTAGGAAATTCATTTGGTCTATTTTGAGCAAATATAACTCAACTCAATTGTCTTCTTCCCTTAGCTAAGATTTTGAAAAAAATTTCAAGAGTCTAAAAATATAACTTAGGACCCTTTTTTTTAGTGGAATATAGGAAGAAAAACTGCAGCTGGTAGGAAGGCAATTTTGTCTTTCAATAGTCAAAGCATCAAATATAAATAAATATTATATTAAAAACATACATATATAATAAATATTAAATATAGAAATATTTATATTGCATAGAAATATTAAGCATAAATATTTGGAAGAATCTTGTTTTTAAAATATTAGTACATGAAACCTTGCCATCTCATTCCATGCAGGATCAAATAAGAAAAACAATATATTTGCTCTGAGTTTGTTTCCTGAAATGTGAAGGAAGAGGTGGAGAACATAAGTATTTGTGATGTACCTGGCATTCCCTATCAAAGGAATGCCATGTAAGTCTGTAAACAGCACCACAATCTAGACTTGCTTCATTTTTGAAGGGGAAGAAAATGACACAATCTCAAATTATGCATCTTCTTTTGAAAGCTTCTGACAAATTGTTTTCTTTCCCAAACTTCTTAGTTCTGTTTTATTGGTGACTGTTATCTTAGAGATGTTGAAAGGCAATAATTCTCTCCCTGTCAAAATATAATCACATGTGGATCTCATGAAGTTTGGTTTAAGTCTTTTCTTTCATGTTCATTTAATTGAATTACTAAAAACATTTAGACAACATGAAAAGTCCTCCAGCATGTTTTCCCTTAAATTCTCAGTGTGTGACAAATGTTTAGCTTACTGTTTGTTTTTCCCCATTTGATGCAATGACAGAAAAGTGATTGTGAGGAAATCTGTCTCTTCTATGATTCCTTCTAATGATTAGCTTGTAGGTGGGGATGAAAGAATAGAGAATTATTTTTCTCTTCTCTCCCCATGATGCTTACAAGTAAATGGAACAAATACAGAAGAGGAAATTATTCTGACATGTCAAATGCATTTAGATGCGCATGGAAGAATTTTGATGTAATTCTTACCTTCATTCTTCTGGTTATATTCTGAGTCTTGATAGGACAAAAACTGTCTTTTTGTGAGTAAGTCAATGTACAGCTTTTTGGATTCAAAATATCAGTTCCCAAACAAAGACACTTACTTCCAGCTTCTCTCACATAAATGTACCTATTCTCAAAAGTTCTGTAGCAATATGACCTTTGCTATCTGGGGCCAACATCCGTCCACTATACAAGAACATAAAGTCCATGAATAATCAGCCAGAGTAATGAAAAAAGGAAACATCTGGGAGTATTCACTTTGTTTTGAAGAGAACAAATGTTAAGTATGATTCTGCCACAAGGAAGAAATTTTGGACAACGTAAGATGAAATTTCTGACTTCAGGTGAAAGCACTGCATTCTGTCCAGTTGTTTGGGAGCTGCAGCATCTATTTGACAAACAAAAAAAAAAAATCAGGCTTTAGTTTATTCATCTTAATCTGCTTAAAATATGTGGTTAAAATCTGGTGTCAGATTCCTTTCTTCAGAGTGTATGTCAGTTTTTGTACAACAAGATTATTGAACTGGAATTTTCATTATCTTTCAAACCATTAGAATCCCACAGGATGTTCTTATGATTGAATTACAAAGCTCATTTGCAATAGCAACACTTTTTGTTTTGAACTTGGACTTTTTGGGTTTGAATCTCAGAACAGAATTAAGTTTTTTTCATGGTGTTGACTCAGAATTTCAATGTCTCAGAGTGAGATAAGAGTTTCATTGTTAAACACGCAATTAGTTGAGGGAGATGTTAAAGGAGAGCCAAATGAAAATGGGAATTTGGAGGCAATACTGAAATTTAATAAGGGAATACCACTCTGCCATTTTTCTTTTTTTCTCATTCAAATATCCATGAGTTGTAGGAATTACTTAACTCCTACCCTTTGCTCTGTTTAGTAATCTTACTAGTCTTTAACTCAGTTTATGTAGTAGGCTTGATGTGTTTGGAACATAAATGTTCTGGCATTCTTCTACTCAGTATGAAGTAATAGAAGTTATCAGATAAAGTCTCCTATCTATGGTGTAAATATGTTTGATTACAGATACAACCTTGGAGTGTTGATATACCAATAAAGCAATATTATTCTCACTGTAACATTACCTTCTGGGTGCATGATTTTATAACCACACTATTTCAGCTCTAGTCCTGCATCAAAGTAGCTATTATTTTTGAACTTCCCTTTTTAAAGGAAAGAATTCTGTCTTCTCATTTTTCACCTCTCATCCTAAGGATACTGATATATTAATATTATTCTATCAATGTACGGATAATTTTTTCCAGCAGTGATGTGTGTATGTGTGAAACAAAACTGCGCTACCTGGTAATTTAATTAAGAATAGGAAACAGTCATCACATATCTACAACTTCAGTGGGTGTTTTCAATTAACAGTTTAAGACAAATCATCATTGATGGAAATTTTAAGAATGGTGGGAATTTAAGGATAATTGCTCATGGACGTAGAAAAATTGGATACCTGGAAAAAATTGTATAGTTGTTACTGCCCTATAAGCAGGGCATGGGTAAATATTTACATCTTTCAAGTGCACTAATATGAATAGTCATGTTCTAAGAGATAAAAAGAATACATGGAAAATACAGAATTTTCAATCAGAAGTGCTAATTCTCAAAAATAAATGTATTGGAAAGTAATCTGTTGAACAGGTGCTCGTAGTGTAGCAGTGATGAAATTATGATATAGGCAGAATAGTAATATGCTCTAAGTGATGCCTAAAAATTTTTAGATTTTTATATATTTCTCATATATTTGTAACTTCACAGACTGTTAATATGTAGTTATAACTTCTAGTACTTTTCCTGACTTCTCCCATCTTTTAACAAACTCTTACTAGTACATTCTTGAAATTCTATTTATTAGTCTAGCGAGGACACTTTGTTTTGCACCACACATTGTAAACACAATAAGTGGAGGGCTAAAGGATCATGGGGGGCTCCAATGAGGCAGAACACAGAAGAAATTACCTAATCAACTGTTTTTCTAATTGGACAATATTTGTTAAATATACAAGTTAAATAACCTTATAAAAATGTAGAAATACTGTATCACATGTACATATTGCCATATTGTGCCACTGTGAGTGCTTTCCATTTAGGACTTGCTTTAACATTCTCATTTTAACACTGTTTGGAAAGGTTTTCAGTTTTATTCCAGGCAGCAAAACAAGTAGAAAAATATCAAGGAAAGTTAGAGGGAGATGTGTTTTGGGTTTAAGAATTTTATCCAAGAATTGAAGAAAATCAAAATACAAGAGCAAAATGTAGGCACAGATATTCAGGGAATGTTGAAGGTATTGGACATGTGCACTGCATAGAGAATCATGGAAATAATAAAGGTGATGGGGTAGGAGTATCTGCAAAAGACAGATTTCTTTTAAATAGAAGGGTAAAAAGTTTAGAGAACAGGGCTCTGCTTTCATCAAAATCACTTTGAAAAAATTCTTCAGAGGTTGACCTGGAAGCCTGCTATAGACACTTGAGGCTGAATTTTCAATATAAGTAGCCATGTTAGTAATAATCTTAGATAGCTCATTGTGATAATTGTATTATTCCATTAAAAGCTATTACAAATTGAAGGACTCTGTTATTTCTGAATGTGGTAGTCACCCAATTTATTTGATGAATAGCTGCTTTATCACTAAAGGGGATGCCTCTTTAGGCAAGTAATGAAGAGTTATAGAAAACATGCTCAAAGAAAATAAGCCTGGGTGAAGTTACAGCAATGGTCTTAGTTAAAGGGCATAAGAAGCATTAATTAAAAACAAAGGTCATGTGACTTTGACCTTTATTAGAAAATTAGGTAATTGTGGTACACTATTGGGTTAGTGAATTTAGATGGACTACCCTGCTTTAGGTGAATGTATTTGAAGTAATGGATTGGAGGAATGAACATAGCAGAATTAAGCAATAAAAAGTGCAATGTTTTAGACTTTTACAATAATGATAATTATTTGTGTCAGGAGATAGGTGTTTATAGAATGAGAATAGCTGATAAGAAGAGCTCTTAAGTGTAGCAAGAAGAGATGTATCAAATATTAAAAGCTGGAAATTGAGCCTGCAAAAATATAGGCTAAAAACTAGGCACTTTGAATATCAGGGGCAATTACTAAAATAATTTGTCAATGACTGGGATAGATTTTTATCACTGTGATTTTTCTTACCAGGAATAATCTTTTTTTTTCATAATTTTTATAACCAGATGAAGTTTAGTCTAGTGAAAAAAACAAGTCAAAGCAGGAAATCAAAAGTGATTATATCTCTCTAGATTTGGCTTACCAAACAGGTTCCCTGTGTGCTTTAGCTACCTTAGAAGCTGACCTTGTGGTCAGCTGCTCCTTTGTGCTCTTCTTTCTCTGTCTCCCCTTTCTTTTTGATTTTGCCTTTTTTTTTCTTTTCCCTTTTTTGTTTTCTTTTGGCTTGCTTCTTCTTTTTTTTCGTTTAAATATTTAAAGTGTTCAAGACCTTTCTCCCCTTGTTTGGAGCACTGCTGCTCTGCACTTCATGCAGAATGTGTTAAATATCCTTCTTCGTACTTGTGTTTTCAGGGCTGATACCAAGTTTTAAAGTAAAATAGGAAGCAATCAGGGTTGGAAAACCTCAATTTGTTCTTCTCAAAGTATCAAAAAGGTATTTTCCTGCAGCGTTTGTCATTTTCATGAATTGTTATCACTTCTAATTCAAGAACACAAGTGTTAATTAAGCCTTCTAATTCAGAAGTACATTTCTCTGTACCATACAGAAGAAATAAGGTAATAAAATAAGCTTCTTCCAGTCCTCTTGAATTGAGTTGGTCTCTCTGGATCATTTATGTCAATTAAAATAATTTCAACAGAGGCAGATTTTTAAACTGTTCAGTGGCTCTTAATACTTCTAATAATCTTATTCAGAGCAGTATGGAAAAGGCAAAGTGAACTGAGTGGCTCACTACAGGAAAGCCCTTGTGGCAGATGAAGTACTACATGATGCAAGTTAGAATTTCTTAAAATTGGCACAGCCCTCATTAAAAATTGTGTCGCTGACAGAACTTGAAATTTAGCTATTAATAAGGGATGCCAGTGGCTGGGATATCGATAGTGTGGTTTCACAGGAAATTTCCGATCTAGAGTAATTAATTGATATTTGAATTATTTTAGCAATTCATTTTTGTAGTAAAACTGGCAGATGAATGCAAAGACTGTTGGAAATGGAGTGGTTGCATCTGCAGAGTATTTAGCTCCTTCAGTATAACTGGAATTGAGAGGGGGAAAAAAGGAGAAGGAGGGGAAAGAATCCTGTGAGTTGTATTTCAATGAAGTATTCAGTATTACTTGAGGGATAAGGCAAGATATACTTTGATCCACCTCCTTGTGTTCTGGTCTAGCAGTGGGGCTGCTGTTATAAATAGGATTGCAAATTAAAGGAAGAGGATATCTGTTTGCAGAATGTGATATATGTAAAAAGATTACGTTATATATATGATTATATACATGCATGATAAACTCTTTTCTTACTCTGATATTTCAGTCTGTGTGTATGAGTTCTTGTGCTGTCTACCTTTCTTTATGAGCTCTGCAGAAACTGGAAACCTTTGCAGCTTAGAATCAAAGAATAACAGAATTACAGAATATTTTGAGTTGGAAGGGACCCATAAGTATCATTGGAGGAAGTACTTATTTTTTTTTCCCCAGGAAAGAAATTGTTTTCCAGAATCTGTTTAAACTTTCCCTGAAGCATGATCACAGGATGGTGGTCAAGTGACTCTGTGCTCTGTGGTCATAGAGAAAATTCTTTGTTTCAGCCTCACTAGTGTGTATTTCTGTCAGGTTTATGTTCACATTATTAACCAGATTTGGAATCAGGGCAAATTTCCTCCCAAGTGAGCTTGACAGGGAAAAGGTATCTTGGGATATTTAGGAAATGCATCTTGCCTGTCATTTTATCTGACAAGGATGTCAATGTTACAGTCTTTCTTTCTGTATGTGTGTTAGAATTTTCAGAAATTAGGTTTGTTGTTAACCCTTGTCAATCTCTGAAATTTTGCTGTATAAAAAAATTAAATCTGAAGACCTAGGATCCCTCTCCCATAAAAGTCAAAATACCTTTTTGTTTGTACCTTCCCACTTTTTTTTATCTGCAGATTGAAAGAGATGCTTATTTTATCGTATCATACCATAAAAAGATTAGGAGAGCTCTATGATTATTATCCCTCATTTCAGTGGCCACAAGGACATATAGCCTCTGTGTCCACATTCTGGTTCTCCAGCACAAACTAGAAGAAGATGCTTGGTAAAAGGATGAAATAAAAATTCATCCTCTCCTCTTTCATTTGTGCCCTTTTTTCCCCGTATACACCAGTTAGGAGTTAAAAAATGAATTATCAGAGCTTCCTGTACTTCAGGCATCCCTTTTATGGACACTCTCAGACTTTGTGTCCTTCTGAAAATGCACAGAGTAGAGAGTATATTCTGTAATGGAATATGTTTTTAAAAGTTTTTGGTCTTTTTCTACACAGTGAGAGTGTTTACCCTGTTTTTAAAGAAAAATAAGTTTGCTCTTAAATTATTTTTATTGACAAGCTTTTAATTTGGTGTTTTAACCAGTGTATTAATCCAGGTAATGAAAGAACATTAGTAATCCCTAGGTGTGCTATAGCTTTATGAATTGAGGAAACCTGTGGTGAAAAGTTATTTTTTATCTGTTACATATTCTCAGTAGAAATTGATAAAGGCACTTCATATTGATTCCTTGCAGCTGATAAACGCATTTGTCCCAGACCTCATGGTTTGGTGTATGAAAAAAATGTTCCAAACTTATTTTCTTCTTAGGACTGTATTTTTATTTTGGAAGAGAGTTTTGTTGTTTGTTTTCTTTTTTTTTTTTTTTAATTCATTTTTCTTTTTTTTTTTTTTTTTTTTTTTTTTTTTGATCAAAAACCACAGGTGGAGATTGCATTATGAACGAAAAATTTCAAGTTGATAATTCTAAAAAGTCATATGAAATAAGAGAGACAAGTCATATATCATCCTTCACAAAATGAACAAACCAGAAATGTAATTATTCTCTATCTAATAAAAGTATACCAGATACACTGTTTTTAGCTAAATAAATTAAATTGCACTTACAATGCACAGAGTTACTTAAATATGTAACTGTTATGGTTACTATTTTGTTTAGTGAGAACTACGGTAATTGAAACAGATGTCTATGTTAACAGCATCGGTCCAGTTGACCCAATCAATATGGTAAGTTTTGACTATTGACACAAAATAACATTGCATGTTGTTATGGGTTAATATTGTGAAACAATTCTAATCCCCTTCAAAAATTTTTTATTGCTTTATGTGTATTCTTCTGCTGTTGGATATGATTGTAGTTATTGCAGAGGTACATTTAGTCTCTCTTTTTGAAATTGTTGTAATTTTAAAAATACAGTTTTTCTTTTAAAAAGTGAGGTCACACAGAGTACATTGAATCAGTTATCAGCTCCTTGTTTTAGTTTGCATTGAACATTTCCACAATATTTGTGTATATCTGGTTTATCTCTTCAGAGCCTAAGAAGAATAACAATTGACACAGTATTTGAACAAAACTATTTTCAGTGATCTATTGTTTGTTTGGTTTTAATTCAAAGTCATAGAAAGCAAAATTTGAGTTTTTTGTCCTTGTTCCATTTAGTTTTCTGTGTCCTTATCAGTGTGTGTGTATACATGACTGGTTCCTTAGAAGTTAAACAATGTGTCTCACTAGTCTGTGGTATGTCTGTTGAGATCTGACCTATCTGTTTAGTACCAACACTGAAGTGACATCACTTATGAGGAAGTTGAGGATGTGGTATTGTCTTAATTCTCTTAGATTATATGTTGTATGAAATTGTGGAGTCTTTAGAAAGGCCTTTTGGCATGACTTCTGCCCAGGACTAAGGGGTCTTGTCCTCAGGTGATTTTGAGTTTACCTCCTTTACTTCCTCCCTACAGAATTGCTGAAAGTACTGAATTTGCAAGGCAGAGAAAAGTTTTGTTTAGAAGCTGGAGTATGCCAGTGCAGAGGGCTTCTGAGAATTTCCAGAGAGTGCAGTAATCATCCATTATTAAGGATCTTGTGGTTTAGATGTATGTCATCATGTGGGGTGGAGAACAGCAACTTCCAGTGTTAGGAAGCCAAGCAAGAAAATCCAGTGGTACTTAGATACTGTGGGAAAAGATGCAGGTCTGTGGCAAAGGGCATTCATTCTAGCATAATGGTCTAACCAGCTGAGGGCTGTCATTACCTGGGCTGTGGCAGGGAAGTCCATGTCTCAGGCCAGGAGGTGGCTGGGTGGGGAAAATTTTCCAGCTTCCATGTCCGGTGTAAGTGGTGTCTTTGTTTTGTCTGTCTCCCTTCTGCAGTCTTTCTCTTTTGCTTCTCTCTGTCTAATCCTCTTCTGAGGGAGCTTACTGTGGAAGCAAATTGTGAAAATGTGTAAGGAGGCTCTAGCAAGTGGTAGAGACTTCTTTTTCCAGTAACCTATGTAAACTCTTCAGCCTGTGGCCAGTAGGCATTGCACATGCTGGAATGGAACATGAGAAATGCTTACAGCTGCGGTTTTTGAGTTTGAGAGAGCCAGCACATGGCTGGCTTTGCAGGATAACCCTGCTCCACCTCCCATGCCCTTCTCTTGTTTCTGCAGTCACTGGGCAGTCTTGCAGCTATAGTTCAGTTAGGAACCTTGACCTCATGTGCCCACAGCTTCCTTCCAGGGCCTGGGAGTATCAGCCGTGGAACTATTGCATGTCAGTTGTTTAGGGGTCTCTCCATGTCTGCTAGAGCTGTGCTAGATCTGGGTGGTGGTGTCCCTGCCATGCTGCTAGTAAAATCCAGCCATGCTAGCTTATAGTGCAAGGTAAGGATTGGCATCCCACTGAAAAGGTATATTACTTCACTGGAGAGTGGGATCCTGATAGTTAATAATGGGTGTTTCTCTCCAACCTTCTGATTTCTCTTTAAAGAAAAAAATAATGAAGCATGACACAAAGGGTAATAAGGTAAATGTTACTAAGTTACAGAACTTTAGAAACTATTCTATGCTTTTTAGAAATGGAAAGAAAGCTACTTAGCAATTTAAATTAATTTCTTAAACTACCGTGGCCCTCATAAGAGGGCAATTGCTTTCACTGGCTTTGCACTTCAAGAACATAGTTTGTATGAGCATCTAACCTCAGTACAGAGATCAAACCTTTGTAAAAATAAGTAAAACCATATACTTGAAAATACTTTGATTAAGGTTTCCAAAAAGAAGTTTTTATTCTGGGGAACAACAGTCTCAGCAAAATATATAATAACAAATTTTACCCTGTAAGTTCCGTTTATGTGAGCTGTTGATTTCATTAGGAAGGCACTTTCCCTGGAGTCAATAATTGAGATTTTTAAATAATAATCCAAAATTTGCTTCCATTTCAAGGGCCATCTTTGGCCCCTAATTTTATTATGTACTAAGAGAATACATTTTCTGTGATTTCCAATCACCACTGGATTACTCATATGCCAGATACGTTAATTCACTCTGGCAAATGATGTCTTTTAACTATCAAGTTTGGACACAATATAGCATGACATAGAGGGTATTTTTTCTGACAGTGATGCTGAAGCAGCATATCGAGGATATTTGTCTGAAAGCTTTAGAGAAGAAGGTGTGCTATGAGAAGAAACAGATTTGGTTTTTTAATTGTCTATTTTCCTATTTGATAAACTTTAATTGTCTGTTTTGCTATTTGATAAACTTCCACTTTTGTATTTGAGGTCTATGGATGACATTCATTAGAGCTTGTTTTTGAAGTCTTTTGTATTTTGGCTTTCACTATTTAGCAAGATCTAGACAACATTTTAGATTCTATAGTCACCCCATAATTAAGATACGTTTTCCTAGAGCTTGTGATCTCTTCAGGCATCTGCATCCTGAGTAAACATTATAAACAAGTGTCTGGATCAGTCGAGTATTTAGGTTTATAATACTAAGTCTAAGGATTTTTGAATCTTTCTTTTAGAGCTAATCCCTGCTATGCATGTGCAACAGCCACGTAAAATGCAGCTAAGTGCCATTACGTGGCACACTCAGGACTACCTGGGTATCAAGTCCAGCCAACATGGACTTGTGAAAGTAAGGTCCAGCTTGACCAATCTAATCTCCTTGTATGACAAACTAACCAGCTTAGTACGAGGGAAAGGCTGTGTTCTATCTCAACTTCAGTAAAATACTTGACACCATCTCCCACAGCATCCTTCTGGAAAAAGCTTCCTGAATGAAAGGAAGATCATGAGGGATGAACTTTGGCCCATACTCGAGAATTTATGAGGTTTCCTAAAAAGTTGTGTGGATTCAGCGTGCAAGCAGTGGAAATTTTTGGAAAGTATATGCACATTATGCAGATTGGTTTAATTCTTTTTCAAATGACAGGAATTCTGTGATCAATTTGTTCATAAGACAGGACAAAAGTACCAATAGGTCTTTGAATATTACCTGTTTCTTATTGTACAGTATCTTTGAAAGAAGTTAGAATTATATTTTTTTCCCAGTCTATATTTTTATTTCAGTTAGGGAACATAAATTCCAATCATTGTGGCGCCTGTCAGCACTACAAGTGATCATGGTTAATTGGCTCACTCAGAGATTGGTGGATGCTGTTCATGTACAGCAGCTGAGTAAATATTTTTCCAGTAGCCTTAAGCATTGTGGAATATACTTAAAAGTCAAACCAAATATTTCTCTAGCATTTCTCATGTTACTATCTCTAGAAATTGAGTAATACTTCACAAGTACAATTTAATGATTGTTCTGTCTTTTTTTATTCCACAAAAAGATTAGCTTTAATTGATTAATCTGGTTCTTTCAGTTTGATTACTGCTATTGCAAAATATATCTAAGATTATCTTGTTCAGGGAGAATTGGTCAAATACATGCAGTATTCTGCTCATACTGGGACAGCACAGCAGTTCCTTTTCAGCAGTTGGTCCCAATTCCTGTGATCAACTTGAAGGGAATGGTGGGGGGTGAGGGAAGATGCAGTTACTGTACAACTGACAAATGTTGCTGTAGCCTTCTGAAACCAGAGCAGAGAACAGACATCTTTTCAGTCCTGACTTTAAACAGCATTCACTATTTTTCCTGTTTTCAGCTGCAGTTTACCAATTGTCCCTTAATAGGTGTGAAGCCAGGGGAGGTACTGAAGGATCCTTATGAGTCACTAGGAAAATCTATGCTCTTTGCTGTAAAATATGGCTGAATTTCTATATGCCATATAATAGCATTGCTATTATGTAAGGCTGCAGTCTTTTCATGCTGTGGTTGGTTCTTAAATCTCAGATTAGTTCATGCTTTAGGAAATACTGGTTTCGTATTGTACCATTGCATCACTTAAACCCCAGTTGGCATGGTTGAATTAATGATAATAATCAATATAGTATTAAAAGTACTACTACTATGACAACTACTGTTTATTTTTACTTCACTCCCCTTATGTCATCTCAGATTCATAGCATTCATAGCCAGAGCAATAACCACACTGCCTCTGAAGTATCTGAGATTTCAGACATAAATGCTCTGTGGTTACATGGCACTAATCTGTGATTCTGGAACTTGTTGAAGAAATGGCAGGAGTAGTGAGCGGTGGATGAGCATAGCATTAGACAGCAATTCTGAAAAAGCTTCCTTTCTTTTTATCTGTGGTCTATCTGTCAATGTGTTGTGATAAAGTCTCTTAGTTTCTTGTGTTTGTAACACTTGGTCTATTTAAGTATTGATGTGAATGTATTTCTTAAAGCTTTTCCTTTGTTGCTTCTGCACAGTATGTCTTCCACAGTCACCTTTTCTTCTCCTGTGCTCAGTTCCTTCTTGGAAGTTTCATGCACAAATTTAGCCACCTTTCTTTGTCCATAACCTGCTATTCTGTTTCTCCTTGTGTCCTAAGGGGTCTAAATTCTGTCCTGTGTCACTCATATGTGTTCATAGTTGTTTTGTTAGCTCAGTATGGCTAAATCACAGCTTTAAAGCTGTGATTTACAACTTTTGACCTCTTGCTCACTCTAAGCTGCTGTGAATAAACATTATTCTATGCCATTGAGGACTGAACTCTAAACATTTTCTGTGATGTGATGGATCTTAGAACCAGGAGTAGGGTCTCAGTTTTAGTCTTGCAAAATCTGAATACAAAGGGATTTTATATTTCTGTAATTTTTAACCCATTACATGAAATTCCCCCTTGTTACACTA